TATATATATATATGTATATATATATAATTAGCTATCAAATTTGTACCCAAAAGCATACATATTGATAATAATGTTTTGAAATTTAACTTAGCAATCCTTCGTTTACCATTTTAGCCTACTCACAAATTCTGGAATTTAAAATAATTTTAACTTTATGGTGGAAATAGCAACTTGTGAAATATGTGAAGTATTAAATGAATTTTGGTGGTTTTTTTTTTTCCTGTATTTAGGACAGGGTCTCCAGGGTCTCACTATGTAGATCGGACTCGTAGTGATTCTCCTGTTTTCAGCCTCCCAAGTGCTGGGATTGATTACAGGCGCACACCACCACGCCCAGTCTCAATCGCCGTCTCAGCACTCCCAGGGCTGGTGCAGCATGCCAGGGATCGAACCCGAGCTGCTGCGCTTTGCCTAAGTAGGCACTTTAGTCTGCTGAGGTATCAGTCCGACCCTGATGTTTTTTTAAATGAAGTTAATGTACTGTTATGCATTATTCTCCAAAACAGAGAAAGGTGCAGCCTTTTTTTTTTTCCCTCCCCCCCATCACCTCTACTGCTCTGGTTTAGCCCTTTATACTTAATCTTTTTTCTTTCTTTTATTTATTTATTTTTTTTTTTTGTGGACCCGGGGATTGAACTCAGGCCCTTGCGCTTGCCAGGGAAGCACTTATTCCACTGAGCCATCTCCCCGGCCCCTACTTAATCTTTTTTTAAAAAAATAATTCCCAATACCTTGCCATCCCCTTTAGAATTTGCTGAAGGCTTTGACATTTTTGGCAAGGCCTTGTGATATCTCTGTCACAAAGAAAATGAACAGAAGAAAAGATGGGAGTAGGGAAAAAAAACATTTGTTGCAGTTTGCCTTATATACAATTATGTACAGATGGCCCTTTTTTCACATATAATGCTTTCTTAAAATATACAGAGGTTAAATGAATAAAAACCAAAGTATAGACTTTATATTTTTTGGGGGGAGGGGGTCAGAAGTGGGGAGCATCCAAACAACTAAAAGTGGCTCAAAGACCTTATTTACACTTTACCTTGTGGGTGTAATTTTCAATGATATATTTCTAGAATGTTTTTTGAATCTCTTCATTGCTAGTACTTATTTGGCAAAGTTCAGTTGGTATGTAGCTTAGGCTGCACATTGCTGCTTTTGGCCTGGTTTTCTTTTAAGTAACCCAAGAATATTCATTTTGTATTTGCTGGAATGTAAATTCCATGTTCTGTATCATTAGCATCTAGAATGATACCTTGCCTATAGAAGATACTAAAAATTTTATCAAATAATTTATCATTGTCTTAAATATATAAAATTTGGGGTGTGCAATTTTTATTAGTGTCAGTCTTATTGTTTTTACTTATTTATATGAAATTATAATGGAATAAGATGGTAAAGTTATTTTTTAAATCTGAAAAACATTGTGAAACAAATATGGTACTACTGCTAAAGTTGGACTTTAGGCTGACAGGAGCATTTCTGTACTGTTCTTAAAAGTGTTATAATTGTTAATCAGTTAATTTAAGAAAACTATTTGGTATTGGAAGGGCAGTTTAGGTTATCACTGATGTAATGGGGCTATTGAAAGTTTCAGAACTACTTGTTTTTCAATGTGATAGATTATATGTATATAGGAGACTTGCATGCCAAAATATAGTATATGAGTAAAATACTAATAGATGAAGACCTGCATTCTTAAATTTTGCTGTTAAAGCTAGTATTTTATATCAAGCAAATTATAAAATATTGTATGCCTAGACTTGTTAGATTCAATATTTTCAATTAATGTTATCTGAGATTTGTTTATTTTGATCAGGGTCCTTATATATCTCAATGTGAGATATTGAAAGTATAATTTTTATTTAACTCCTCCTATTTCTCCTTGTTTTCATTATTGAACCTGTGAGACTTAGAGAATCATTTGTGCTTTAAGCTTATGATTTTGAGATGTGATGCTTCTTCTGGAACCAAGAAAGAGAATGATTATGGGATTAATAGTACTTTGCCTCTTCAGTGAAAAAGTATATTTCTTATATTTTTTAAATAGTCACTGTAGTAGAGAATAGATTAAGACCACTTCGCCATTCATTCATTCATTCATTCATTTGTGCTGGGAATACTATACTTTGTATTATAATATCGAGTAAAAATACCAGCTTTAAAAAATTTTATTTTTGGCAGAACCAAGGATAAAATACCAGTTCTTTAGACCATGTTACTATGTATGCATAGTATCAATATGAATATGAATAGTGTACTTATATACTCTGGCTGGGCACATATACATAAATTCATTAACTTGGTTTTCTACTATTCTTTGAGAGACATTCATTGATAGTAGGGAACCAATCAAAATAATGTTAGGAAGCAGTTTCTAAAAATCCCTCAATTCAGACTAGTAACTTAATGGCTATGAGAAGTTTGTAAGTTATTGAACTCATTTACAAAAAGCATTGCAAGAATGTGGTAGACTTATTTATAAGATTATTTTGGAAGATCAAATAGAGTATTGTATGTAAATGGAGTTTGGAAAGATTCATATAAAGAATCATTGCTTGATAACAGTAAATAACATCTAACCCTTAACATAGGAATAACTTATTCATGTATGTGGTACTGCAGAGACCCTGGCTGTTTACACTGGGGAGAAGTGACTATGACTATAAAATGCTCTTTGATCTATAGAATAATTTTTTTCTGACAAATGATCTGCATGTTCTATCTCTGCATTTTCGGGGAAGACAATATTGACTTGTTAGAAATTATCTAAACAGGACCGGGGAGATGGCTCAGTGGAATAAGTGCTTCCCTGGCAAGCGCAAGGGCCTGAGTTCAATCCCTGGTTCTGCCAAAAAAAAAAAAAAAAAAAAAAAAACCAATGTGAAAAAAAAAAAAAAAGAAATCATCTAAAGACCCCATAAAAATTTTTTTTTCTATAATAATGAAATGATCCCCTCTGGTACTGACAGTATTGTTTTCTGGCCAAGCCTCTTACACATTTTTCAACTGGGAGATGTGCTGAACTCTAGTGAAAGATATCAACTTATCTGCTGAGTGGGCTTTATCCCCCTTCCTTTCTTCATTCTCAAGGCTTCCAGATTCTAGTTGCAGCTCGTAAATGTTACTTTTCTTAGGTCCTGTAATGTTTTTACTGTGGTGCTTGCTGTTGAATTTTATTTATGTAAGTTTAGAAACATAATCTCGTATTTGAACTCAAGTTTCTTTAAAATGAAATGATGCCCTAATATTAAGAAAGTTAAACGTTTCATGAAATTCATTTACCTTTTGAGGAAACTTTTATCAATATTTCCTTTCTTCAAATTTTATCCCTTCATATAAATGATAGTTTTTATATTGTAATAACTTAGACTAAAGATGGCCTACATTTACTATATACAGTTGCTTCTCTTACCCTTAAGCATAAGTGATGAAAATTTTTTAGGTAATATTTAAACAACTCTCAGATGCATAGTATAAACACCTTTTAAAGAAAGTTGTGTTCATAGAAAGCATATCATAATGCATTTAAAACTTATGCCTAATGGCATTTCTACTTTTATTCTTTTAGGTAAGCAGAATTTTATATAGTTTCAGTACAGCTTTCAAACGTTCTTCCAGACAAACATCTGATGTTAAGGACTCGATTATTCCTACCCCCGACAGTGATGTGTTTACCTTCAGTGTTTCTTTGGAGGTAAAGGAAGATGATGGGAAAGGAAACTTTAGGTGAGGTTATCTGAAAAGAATAAAAATTAACATTGTGTCTCAAATATAATATTGGCTAATACAAAATTTCTAGAAATTAAATAATAGCATAAAGCTTTAAATGTTAATAAAATACTTGGCTGGCAAATGAATACTCTCTGTTCTCATGTCTTTTAGATATTTAAATGATTTCTTAAAAGGATTTAAATGTATTATATAGGCATGTATGAAAATATCACAATGAAACCATTAATTATTGTGTTACTAGAAAATAAAAACACTGCAAAATGAAAATGCTTCTGTTTACTTTAGAAAATAGTGATGATAATACAATAAGCTGTAATTTTTCCAGCTATAATCAATTTAAGCATTTACTTTATTTGAGAGAACATTTTACATGATTGTAGTTGCATAGTTTTTTCTTTATGATGTAAGAATTGAAAAATCCCTAGTCAAAAATCATTGCTAATAATTACTGATAGTATATTTTATGATTTGACCATCATCTAATCAACCATTTTGGTTTTCTTTTAAAGTTTTCCCCCCAGTTTAGGAAAAAAAGCTGTTATATTATTTGTTACCTATATTCTTTAAATGTACCTTTCATTTAGCAATAATTGCTAGGTAGTTTTTTGTTTTTAATTGGTACATGTTTGTAGTACATAATGATTATATTCATTGTGGGAGGTTGGTACATGTATGTAACGCACCTTAATTCTTTTTATTTCCCCTTTCCCTTCCCTTCCTTTCCTTTTCCCTCTCCCTCCTCTAGATCCATTTCCCATTTTGAAAACATCTCTTTGTTTCCTATCGTCTTTTGTTTTGCTCTTTACCTTATATCTGCAGTAATTCAGGTTTCTCATACAAGAGCATCCATGGGATATTAAGTTTATGTTCTGACTTAAGTTACAGTCATAAGAGGCATGCATTTGTCTTACCTGGTATGTAGAAATTGATCTCAGGGGTCAAATAAGTTGCTCAAGGTATTTTTCCTTCTCAGATAAGACAACTCATTTTAAGATATTTATTTTTTAGGGCTGGCCAGATAGCTAGCTCAGCAGACTCAACGCCTGCTTAGGAAGGCACAGGGACTGGAGTTCGATCCCTAGTGTACCTTGCTGTCCCTGTCCTTGGGGTGTGCTAAGATGGCAACTAGACTGGGCATGGTGGCGCATGCCTGTAATGTCAGTGCTTGGGAAGCTGGAAACAGGAGAGTCACTACGAGTCCGATCTGTATAGTGAAACCCTGTAGACTCTGTACTAAATACAAAAAAAAAAAATTATTTTGATCAATTAATTCATTGCAAGAATAGTCTGTTTCATTTAAGTTAGAATTTGATTAATTTGTCACAATCTGTATCATGACATCTCTTTCGCGTTTACTTAGGTAGATTTGTCACAATCATCTCAAATGCTAGGTGTCTAAAAGAGTTATTTTTTGCTAGTTTTGCCTTGAATTTTATTATCTTATGGGTACTCATGACTACTCAACCAGGTAAACCAGAAATTTTGGTTTAAAGTGGCATTAAAAAAAATACTAAGTGAGACTTGAAAATGAAATAAAACCTGAAGTTATATTATTAGCACCATTTGGATTTAACCTTGATTTAAGATAAAATAATGTAGCTTTTGCAAGTCCAGCTTAAAAATTACTAGAAATTTTTTGTTGCCAACTACAAAATCCATAGTTGCTATCTATAGCAAAGTGAGAGTTTAGTACATCTTAAGAATTAGTGTTATTGTATAAGTACTTTGTCTTATTCCAAGCTTGGAAGAGGTTATTTAATTATTGTATTGTTTATCTAATCATACTGTATTGGTAATTCTTGTTCTTTTTGAATATTTCAGTCCTGTGCCTAAGGATAGAGATAAATTTTATTTCAAATTAAAGCAAGGAATAGAGAAGAAGGTTGTGATCACAGTGCAGCAACTTTCTAACAAAGAATTAGCTATTGAAAGGTAAGCGGCTATCTCCTAAAAACTTGTATTGACTTAATTTTGTTTAAAAAAGGTATACAATTGAATTTCACCTGTATTGCACACTGTTGTTTTGCACCATAATTTAGTTTCTCCAATTAAAAATAAGGATGAGATAACAGTGCAGTCTCTACTTCAAGTTAAATGTAGCTACTTGACTACAAATTCCAATTTATGGGTGAAATAAACATGTAATGACTTAGATTTTAAATAATAACAGCATCACATTTCTGTTCGCATCCCTTTTTCTTGCTGTCTCTTTACATATAGTTTATATTTCCTATTAGTTTCTAGAATTCTAGGATTTTAAAGATATACTTAAAAAAATCTGTACTGGGGAGTAAGTTTAGAGCTGCATTCCTATCTCTTTTTGTTTGTGTTGATATAGGATCTTTCTAAAGGTTGCTCAGGCAGAACTCATGCATGGCTCAGCAGCTCCTTCCTATGTCAGGTTCTCAGTTTGAGGATTTATTTTTAAACTATATAAATATTTTGTGTGTGTGTGCGCATGCATATGTATGTTTGTGTGTTACTGCAGGTTGTATGCTGGCCTAGTGCATGTTATGCAAGTGCTCTAGTGTCAAGCTGCATCCCTAGCCTTTTAAAATTTTATTTTGATATAGGACTTCACTAAGATGCCGGCCTCAAATTGAGATCCTCCTCCCTCAGCCTCAGAGTAGTTGGGATAAAGTGTATGTCCCAGTATACCTGGTGATGACGTTATAGCTATCACTTTTCTTTTAGTGGTATAATAGTGTTGAGTCTTAAAATTGGTTAAAAAAAAGTAGGAAAGCGAAAGTACTTTTGAGGGCTGGCCACAAAGCTCAGCGGATTAAAGCACCTGCTTAGGCAGACTCAGTGGCTGAGGTTTTGATCCCTGGCTCTGCTGTGCCGACCCTGACCCCAGGGTGTGCTGAGACAGCAATTGAGACTGGGCGTGGTGGCACAGGCCTGTAATCCCAGCAATTGGGAGGTTGTAAACAGGAGGATCATTATGAGTCTGATCTATGTAGTGAGACCCTGTACAGCCTTTACACCCTGTCCTAAAATACAAAAGTAAAATTTAAAAAAAGTACTTTTGATGTTGAATATCCTAGTCCTAAAAGAATATGATTAGATGTACATAATGATTTTAATTAAAAAAGTGACTAGCATTAGATATAAGTGTTTCATTTTTTAAATTTGAAAGTAATTTTAAAGATAAATTTAAAAAAGATAACTCATAGAGACTACTGTATACTTTTTAGTCACATTTACTTATTGGTAATTTTGCACCCCATTTGCCTTGTGCCATACCTTCATACACACGCTTGTTTTTCTTTTTTGAACAGTTTAAGAATATTTAATATATTAGAATCCCAATGTACCCCAAAATAACTCTGTGTGTATTTTCTAATACTGGGGATCACTTACATAGTGTACTTACCAACTTCAGTGAGTTTAGCACTTACTAAGTTCACTGAATTCTACTTTTTATTAAATCTATTCTTTGTCTGTCAGTTCCTCCAGTTCATGATTCATGCTATCATCAGATACTGTATTTAGTTACCATTTTTTTTGAACTTGTCTTCAATTTTTATTTTTCAGAGTATTGTAATTTTCTTCCATAATTTTATTGAGAAACAAATAGCGGTGAGACAGTTTCAAATCAAATTGGTAGGGACAGTTCTAATAATTAACACATTGCATACTCTCTTCCTAGTGGTTATTTGCTGTACAAGATGCAGACATGATATCCTATTTACAATCACTATTAGAACAAATCCCTCTATTCATTAAGAGAATGTAACTATATATCTATTGTAACCATTTTCAGTACACAGATACAAAATGGACATTCATCTGTATCCCCTTTTTTGTTTAGTTCCATCATTTGATTATTATAGGTGTGTTAACTCAGAAAAATATTCCAAAAGAGTTCAAATAGTCCATAATAGTATTGGGTCTTCTGCTTCACTGGCAATGTCAGAAATTGTTCTTATTTTTATTTTTTCCCATAATTTTATTGACAGACAAATACCAATGAGACAGTTTCAAATCAAATTGGTAGGACATTTTCAATAAATAACACATTGCATACTCTCTTCCTAGTGGTTATTTGCTGTACAAGATGCAGACATGATATCCTATTTACAAACACTATTACAACAAATCCCTCTATTCATTAAGAGAATATAACTATATATCTATCCTAACCATTTTGAATACACAGATACAAAATGGACATTCATTTATATATCCCCTTTTTTGTTTAGTTCCGTCATTTGAATAT